ACACACGGGAACCCTCCAATCATACATTTACACGTGCTTGGAAATCTCAGCAGAAAGTCGGAATCTCAGCAAGTCGCACAGTCCAGTGGCCAACTCAGAAAACAGCAGAGTTCAAGACCCCGTTCATGGACACGTATGTTGGGTCTGTTTCTACATCAGTTTCTACCATGCAAGGGGCTTGCATCCCCTTCTTCCCTGTTCTGTGGGTGGATTGGAAAAGAGACCCAAGTAAAAAGTATTTCACAAGAAGTTCAAGAAAAGTACAGAGCAAAAGGAATGAAGCATGTAGGTGTGGCATACTGCGCAGCCRCACGGGCCTGCAGGGCCTGTCCCGCAGTCTCAGCCTAAAAGCCTAGAAACAAGGGCTTACAGGCCCCGTGTCGTTTCGAGAGCAAGTTAACCGAGCACCCATTTTTCAGGCCCATTTATAAGAAAACCAGACAGTCATTTTAACAACACTTCACACCAATCTATAGAGTGCACTTCTTACGACCCCATCACAGAAAAAACCCCTAAAAAAAGAAATTAAAAACATATAAAACAGCAAGCCAAAGGTGCATTTCCATGAAATTTGGCCCAAAAAAAACTCGACCAATTTCAGAAATTTCAGAATTCTTAATAGCGCAAATTCTAAAACTCGAAATAAACCCAAATTTCATATACGACAACCCTATCAAAATGCATATATAGCAAAAACTTGAAATTCCAAAAAAACATGAAATTTGAGCCCAAAACCCTATTTTTGGAAATTTCAGCCTTGAAAACCAAATGCCCCGTTAACCTCTTGTGAGCCTGAAAGACTGAAAAAACGAGGGCCTGCAGGCCCTATGTCGTTTCAGCCTAAAACAGGGCCTTTCAGGCCCTGAGTCTTTTCAGCCTGAAACGGAGGGCCACTTTCGGGCCCTCATAAGATCGACCTGCCCTAACACTCGGGCACCAAACCAGGGTTTCGGAACAGGTTATTTTTGGCCTGTTCCCCATGCCAGCCTCAGCAGGAGCTGCAGCGGCAGGCCCTGGCTCACTTCGGCATTGGCAAGAGCAGCCTCCTGGACTGTAGCGGACCCACCAGGTGTGGTGCTCCGCTAGCGATACAGATGGAGATGGAGGAAGAAGGGGGGAGCGAGATGGCACAACGCAGCTCGCCACGCAAGACTCCAACGCACGTACTCCAAAATGTGCAAGTGAAGAATGAGCTCGAAAACGGACAAAGGCTGGGGTATACCGCAGCGGACTGACGGGACTGGACTGGACTGGCTGGTACCGACAGAGGTACCGGCCTGGACTGGATTGCCCCGAATAAAACACAGGCCTGTGAGAACAGGCCAAGGGGTTGGTCTCACAGGCCCACCATGGTCCGCTACACGATCCTCGGCTTGTGATGGATCGCCTAGATACAAGCACGCTTCCGCCAAAAAGCGGAACTCTACCAAAGAAAAGAAACCCGAGTAGTCTAGGATGCGGAGCAAGCTCCATGCTGAGTCCATGCGATGCAACCTAGGATATAAAAGCAAATAACTAGCATACATGTCCTAGGAAAGCAAAAGCAACTAACTAGCATACATGTCCTAGGAAAGCAGAAAGTAGTGACAACTAGATCTTAGAATGTTGGAGGCAGTAGCCTCAGTCTGGGAACAACTGACTAGTGTATAAGTCCTAAGAACAACAAAAGTTGAACAACTAAATCCTAGAAATGTCAGAGGCAGTAGCCTCAGTCTGAGAGCAACAAAGCAACAACAAGCCAATCGTATGTCACACGAGAAGTGTGTCGCAAACCAAAGGGTGGGATGGTCTCTGAGGGTGGCGAATGCAGCCTAGGGGTCGAAAACTCCTAAGGGCATCCACACATAGATAACCGGGAGACACATGTCATCAGGCTCAATGAGGGTAGGGAACTGAGAGCGAACAGAACCAATGACCCGAACAGATAGACCATCAGGGCGGGTAATGCTCGACTAAGGGGTGACCGCTATGGAGGGTCGACCATGGGAATAAGGGAGCCTGGTATACTGGGCGCACCTAGATGAAGCATGCGGGGCTGCCTAACTAGGGCGTGAGGGCCGGCGAAGGGTAGAGAGATGATAGGTAAGGGAATCATGCAAATGACTCCTAAAGTGAGGGAAGTCGGAGCTAGATCCGTTAGAT